CCTACTCCCTCGTGTCGCCTTTCGCCTCCCACGACTCGTACTTCTATTTACTTTATTAATGTCCCTTCTGGCTTCATAAGTTTTTCGGATACATTTTGTCAGTTCATTATGCAGTGGTTAATCACTCAATTTATCGTCTTCATGGTGCATGCAGAGAGGCAAAAACGCACATCAGGTTTCTGTCATAACACGTTATTTTGCAGACAGAGGGAGAAAGAGAGAGACACATTCTTCTGGATATTGGAATTGACATGCGGTGTTGAGGTGTGATAAGGTGGACATGAAATATGAGTTCTCCGAAGTTCCAATATACTTTCCATGTACGTACCAGCATCATGAAATATGAGTTTTCCGAAGTTTCAATACATTTTCCATGTATATACCAGCATTTAACATTACCGATACTTGATATCTCATTATATTAGCATTATATTGGTCTTCTCTACTATTTTTATCATTTTGTTTTAAACAATGATTCAAAAATGGCCATCTGGATCATAATGGCCTCGTCCGGATTGGGTTCGGTGGATGTGGTATGCTGGGCTATGGCTCCTGCAATCACCTGATTCCCACTCATTTTTATTTCTTGTTATTATCTTCCCCAATTTAGTTATTCTAGATTAATTTTTTTTATTTTTTTATTTTGGGAAAATTAGTGGAGGAGAAGGCCCCCTACCCGTTTTTTATTAATATTTCAAAATAAAAAGGTTGCAACTCATCTCTTTACAACCCTAGAAGAGGGCACTTGTGACAAATCATGAAGTAAAGCAAGGAAAATAAAGTCTGGCGAACGAAAATGCCAAACAATGGCTTGTAAATGTGATGTGGCCCTCTTTACAAAAATATCGGCCATCATGTTGGCCTCACAAAAAATATGGGTAATGGACCACCTATGATTAGAAAGTCGTCGTCTACAATTCGCTGCAACTGTATGTAACTTCTATGGAGGTTGACAGCAGTCACGAATAGCACTAACTTGCAGAGCTGAATTGCTTTCAATCTGAAGAGAAAAACACTTTAACAGAACAACTAGAGTTAGACCTTCTTCAAGAGCAAATAATTATGCATGATTAGATTATTAGAAGTCATTTCAAAAGGTTTTGAAAATATTATAATAAAAGCACCGTCGTTGTCTCTAATAACACCACCCCTACCTACTCTACTTGGAAATGGCCATGCAATAAAGGCGCCGTTATGCGAGGAGCCCCATCAATATTCAGCTTGAAGTGATTAGGGCTAGAAAATGACCACGCTAGTGGGATAGCAAACTGATCCCAGTGTTGATGCCAATTGAACTGTAAATTTTCAATGAGCCCTTTTTCGGAAACATGGAATGTCCATCATTTAGCATCAATTAATTCTTGAACATGAGAGAAGATTTGTCAAAGCAATTGTTTTCTCATGATAAATCTTGATTGGAAAACTCTCCGATTGCGTTTCGCCTATAAAATCCAAGTAGTTGTGAAGAATAGAGACGTCCAAATATTGAAAAAACCATTTGATTTGAATTTGAAAGATAAACAACTTTTCAGTAAAATAGGAATAGAAGAGCCATAAAAAAATCATTTCCCGCAACCGATTAGTTCACGAAAGGGCCGATCAAAATCTGATTTTGGGAGTGATTTCATGGCATCGCGTCATTATAATATAATGAACGTGAGGTTTGTATAAGTTGCCAAATCTTATATCCTTGAAGTAGGGCGCACCTCAAAATTATGTAAAAAGATAGCAGTTTTGGTGCCAAAAAGTCTTGGGGTGATATTAAAAATCTATTGTCACCATGTATTATGAAATTTGAGGCTCCAAAATAATACAGATCCATAAACGGTTATTTTTTTGAAAAAATAGATGGTCCAAATAATGCGCTATAATATGTATTATTTTTATGGCTTTAAAATTTTGAAAATAGATGGTTTAGATAATGCACTATAATATGTATTATTTTTAGGGCTTGAAATTATTATATTTCATATCTATATGCCTTGAGTTGAGATAATGAATTTGAAGATTTTTTTTAGCATCGGAACAACTTTTTTCGATGGTTTTTTGATGTGTGCTGTAGTTCAATAGTACACGGTTGACACCTTATATAAATTTTTATCTATAATGAAAATCTACTTCTAGAAAATCATGTATGTAGTAATTTGTATCACCTTAAATTTGTATAGGCACTCTCTCCATTCAATCAATCTCAAAAATAAAATTGAACTTGTACCTTAGATATAGTCAAAATAAATCTGTCTCCAATAATGAACTAGACCATCAATTTGGTGAATTTTAAGTTCTTGGACTTGAGGAACTCAAAATCAATTTTTTCTTTTTTAATGGTATTCATCTAATGATAACAAAGCTATCTATAAAATTCAAATAAAGAAAAAAAATTATTCTAAGGCTTAGATCTTAATATCTCATCAAATAGACGACTCATATTAAGAAGGTTAGAAAAACCACTTTTTAGGTGCATTTTCAAATTAAAAATCGGGGTCAAATAGATTGCCCTAACATGGCTTTTGAAGATTGTTTTATTGTACTATTGTAAAACTATTGCATGAAATTACTCTCGTATACATATAGGGATAACCTACAATTCACAACCCTTGTAAATATAATGGCTAATGTTAGAAAGGGTTATGAATAGTGGATTCACATTGTGGTTTCTTTTTAAGAAAAAAATACTTCTTGTGGTGGTTGCTCGTTAAGTAACAGTGTGTAGTTTTCACTAAAAGTCACACGGTAGTTTTATTTCCGTAATGATTAATTTCTCAATAAAAATATTTTTTTAAAACAAAAAATAATAATATTATGATAAATTCACACATTACAACTCATTTTAACATTAACAGTAGTTTTATTTCCTTAATGATTACTTTCTCAATAAAAATATTTTTTTAAAACAAAAAAATAACAACATTATGATAAATTCACACGTTACAACTCATTCTGACATTAACATTTGTATCTTATTAACTATATACAAATCCATATGTGCATGCTATTGGAGCATACTGTCTATTTGCTCCTTCAAGCAAAACCCATGCAAGGAGGAATTATACGATCCCAAATTTCAAGGATGCAACCGCTTGAACCTAGCCATCAAACCTCACTATATGCCTAAAAGAAATAATGTTCCCAAGTTGAATGGGAATTATCCATTTCTTGGAGGACAAAATCAAGGTTGAAAAAGCCCAATATCCAATTCCTTCTTAATAGTAATCATATAGTTATTTTTAGGGGGATTCCAAAATTTTAGATCAATAAAATTTTCCCAAATACTTCTTTTGTCTGAAGGAGTTAATGCACACTATACTCCCGTGGGACCCTACCATACATGCTAATATATATAAAGCTAAATAGATAGAACCGTTGATTAAAAATTTGGAATATGGATCAGGAGTCACCCAAGACTGGTGTAGTTCTTGTGGTGCATCGACATTTTATTTTATATAATTTTATTTGAAAAGCTTTAAGAGCTTTGGCTGCTAGTGCTCTCTAAACTTTTTGATAACATCGTAAGTTCATTTCCCGCAAGGTGCATCTTTCTTTACATGATATATGATAGGGTGCAGTTCGGTGTCAATCTTAAACAATCAAAGTAAGGCGTATACCAAAAAAAAAGTAGTTTTAACATTGGAAATCCCTATGATGACCTAAAATTCCATTTTTACACCTATTGATGAAATTTGAAGCTCCAAACATAATGTAGAAGAAACAGGTCTATAAACAATAAAAAAATTATGAAAATAGACCGTCTAAATAATGAGTTATAAAAATGCACTAATTTTAAGACTTCATATCATTTTTTTCACATACAAACATCTCAAAGTTGAGATGATCAATTATAAGGTTTTTCAATGCAAGACAACCTTTTGGGATAGATTTTTTAAGTGCCCCTTATTTTTACAGTTTAAGGCTGATACATAATATAAACTTTTTCTTATATCATATTATATAAGACATCATATATTTTTATAGGCTCTCTTTTTGGGCTGGATTGGTGTTTTATTCTAAGAACTTTTTTCAAAAAGCTCAAGCGCTTTGGCTGCTAGCACGTTCTAACTTTTTACTAACATCGCAAGTGCAAATCCTGTGAGGTGCATCTTTTTTACATAATATATTATAGGAAAGAGTTTATATAAGGTTGGTACATCTTTTTCACATAATATATTATAGGTAAGAGTTTATACAAGATTGCTACCTTATACCATAGAATTAAGATGCACCTCAAAACCCAACAGAAAAGAGTGTTCCAAAGTTAGGAAGACCTTCGAGTTAATTAAAAAAAATTCTAACCTTAAAAGTAGTGCATATTGTAACAAGTGATTTAAACCGTCTATTTCCATTTTCAACTGTTTATATACGCACCATTTTTTAAATTTTGATAAAAGCCTTAGTCAAACGCCCTATATTCTTGCCTTAGCGGCCACTGGTTTTTCAAGACATGCTTGGCATATCAAAGAACTTCATTAGAAAACTAAGAACATGTTGATTTATTATATTTGTAAAATTAGGCACGCAAACAACACAAAGCATAATGTTGGGTACATACATTATTGCTTCGAAGGGAAGGTGTGTGATGGTTTAAGCCAAAGTCCATTAATCAATTTAGAGAATTGCACACTGCTGAAAATGGTCACTGGAGCACTAATTTCTTACAAAGGAATTAAACATCCCAATGTCTTTAGTACTGCAAGGCAACACTGATAAATCTATTTTATCTAAACTTTCTTAATGAATTTTTTTCCTAAAATCGAAGTTAAATATGGTTATAGATCACTTGTATTCCGAAGCAACAACCAGGACATAGCTTCTCTGAGAGAGAGAGAGAGAGAGAGAGAGAGAGAGCACATACAAAGACATAATGTGAAGT